TATACCAAGATGTGTGTACACACACACACACACACACACACACACACACACACACACAAACGCACACACTCACACACAGGTTTGTGCATGCAAACTCACCCATTCATAATAAAAATGTGGGAAATGGAACTGCTTTTCTTAAAATTACAGATAGCTTCATAGCTTTGGGAGAGGTTCTAAGGTGGTACGGTTGTCTGGTACAGTCACACATACAGCATTTATTATTCGGGCTGAGCAGAAACAACATGGAATCACTGTATGAATCTTGATCCGGAATCCCTGGCTTCAGTCCCACTGTAGCACTGGGGCAGGGGAGCAACTCGAGATGAAGGAGCCAGGAAAGTTAGCAAATGGTTTGGGTGAGCAAAGTTTCACTGAAAGAAGTATTATTTCCTCATCTCTTCTTGTTATTCTGTTATCTTTAAAATTCCCTTGGCTGCTTACTGTGACCAAAATATTGTTAAAATGTGATCACAAACAAGCTCTTGACCTTAGGGAATCTAATCTAGCCACCAGTTGCATCTTCAGGCTAAAGAAAGTAATAACATGGGATATGCGTCCTCACCCATGTTGTTTCTAAACGATATGGATTTTCCAATTGCATTTACATCTCTCCTTCTGCGGGACAGAGGAATGGTGCCTAATGTCTAAGCAATACCCGTATTAGATTATACAAGACCCCAAATCTGAAGAATCTTAACATCAGTAAAAGAAGAAAGAGACTAGTACCGTCATGTTTTTGTGAAATTATAAAAATACATCAAAATATTCAATAGATTTGGGCAAGTGTAATATGTGGGCATATTACAGGACTTTTTGTGTGTATTAGCAATATGATACAATCTTCACTTTAAATGGAATCTATGAAATTGTTTTGCTTGGCACTCATGTTAATTGTTAGCTGTATTAATGAAGTGCTTAAAATTTTAAAAACTTCTTTGATAAATTGTGTGTTTATTAAAAATGGCTAATTCATGCTTCTCCTGCACACTTTATCCTAAAGTGTCAGAGCCCATTAATCCTTTATCGGCTGAGGAGCCTTTGATTGTTCTGCCCTGACCTTGATCTACCAGCCTTAAAAAGCTACACTCCAAGCATATTCTATTTAGCGCTTCTCAGTCTAAATGTAAGGCCTGACCTGCAGGGACTGCTCATTAAATCTCATGTCCTAGAAACTCATGTGTGGGATGAGTTTTTCTTTGACTTACCATGTTTCTCTTAACCCAGACCTTGCCTGCCTGATTCTCTCAATCAAAAAGCAAAGACTCAATATCTAACTCTGAAATCAGAGAGAACCAAGGAGCATTTTGATGACATCCTTTCTCCCTGCCTCTCTCCCCCCACACACACTGACTCCTGGAACCATCCCCTTACACAGAAAGCGTAGCTTTGTAGGAGTTCAGGACACTTGCTGAAGATGACCGAGATGATTCATTCTTGGGCCAGGCTTAAAATTCTGTTTTTCTCTAGAATCAAATAGAAATATTTGCCATCAACATCACTTTAATCCCAGTGAAATATTTGGTGAAACTATTCTGTGAAACAGGGAAAGCTAGAAATAGAAATAAATGTTTTAAGGCTCCGTTTCACAGAAGAGGAAACGGTAGGAAAAGCTCAGGTTTGGAATCAGGCAGGTAGGAATGTAACCCCCAGCTTACAGCCCCTGGTACTCATGTGACCGACGGTGATCATGAGACTTGAAACAGCAAATGGAAGTGGTCACCTCTCACAATTAGGATAAGAATCAGAAATTTAAAATACTTTGTGGAAAGTGCTGGGTGTATTTACATTTGATTTAGTATTGTTATTAGTATGATGTTATCATCATCCATTCATTTCAGGACCAATGTACTGATTTGATGTATGTTTAAAGATTCACAATTTGTGTCACGCTTCTAAATTGTTATGAGCAGGTTTCAAATGCTGATGAAGACCACAGAGTCAAGGCTGAATTCTGGAGATATTCCTTCTGAGGAAAGGCTTTGTAGACATAATGGTTAGGAGGGCTGTGAATCTGTGAGAGGTTGGACGGGGGGCTTGAACCTGACTTCAGAGAGGTCTAGAAGTCAGGAGAGAGGAAATAGGTCAGGCTCAGATGTCTAAGTAAATTAAAACTAAACATATTATTTATCATAAAATAAAATGAAGTTTTACTCTCAATGTAAGAGAAAGAAAAGGAAAAATCTTGATAGAGGAAGGTGATTGGAGATGATCTCATAGGAGAATAAGCAGGTTTCCTTAGAGATATTTTAGGGGTATGTTTTCAGAAGTCACAGGACATTCAAATTCAATGTGTTCAAAATGAACGCAGGAAATCTACTCACCCAAGTCACACGGTTTCTTTTAATATATGTGAAGCAGATCCAGTGTGCTTTGACCTCACTTAAGGAAAAGACTGCCACCTGGTGAATACTTGAGGACTTTAAAAATACATGTATCCGTTTTGAACATCTGGCATAAACTTAAAAATGACAGTCATATACTTTATATTATTTTTCAATAGATTGCAGCTTCTGCACTCCACATTAGCAGAGATTTTGTTAAGATACCATCGGATCACAAGTTTCCATGAAATTTGTTCATTTCCACCTGATTTTATTAACTAGTATAAACCCATGTCTTATAGGTCACCTAATAAGCTTAAATGTTACCAAAAAAAACAAACAAAAATTTATGAGCTTCCATGACCTATCCGCTTCCTTTGATTTCTTTCTTATTTAATTTTGCAGCCAAATGACAAAAGTGATATTTCAGGATTGCTGTAAGGCTAATACATTTCATTCATTACACACATGACCTCAAAAGCAAACAGCACAGGAGGTCATTTTTCATTCTATATCTGGTGCTGCATCGGGGGGTCTGTGCTGATTTTCCCTGGGACTTAGTCTTCCGCATATTTTATCTGGGGCATTAGCGATGAGGAACAGCGATGAGGAATTAATTCCAAATATTTTCTTTTACTAAAACATTGCCCCTTCACCTGCCCTGATGTATATTTTCTGACATGTTAAAATAGAGGTTAAGGAGTCTCTTAGCTGGTTGCTTCAGAACTTACAAGTTGCTGAAGTCTTTGCTTCGCGGCTCTAAAGTTTCAAGTTCACTGCTAAAGGAACTCCATGGAAGAAAGAAAAGAAATGATTCTTTCCCAAAATGAACAAAATGTTGCCATTTTCTTTGTTTTGGGCCGAATAAAGCCGTTGTTCCATTAGGAGGAGAGAGGGTGCCCATCCTTTTCTCCTGCCTCCAGAGCCCCGCCCCTCGGCTGGCATGACCGAACCACATGTCTTTTCTCATTAGTTTCATGCTGTCAATTCCTAGAAGTTTTCCAAGTGTTATTTCACTTATTTTTATGCAATCACAGAGGAGATGTTTTCCAAAACAAGTGATTTCAGTAGATCTCCCTAGTTGTACAGCTCTATGTTTAGTCCTGATTGGACCCAGGAATTCCACTCTTAAGAATTTACCCAAAGAAAACAAGTTCTCAGATTCAAAGAGACATATGCACCCCTTTGCTTATCGCAGCACTATTTACAGTAGCCAAGACATGGAAACAACCTAAGTGTCCATCAGTATTCAACTGTTTTTGTCATTACCATTTCTAGAGAATGACCCAAACGCACCTGTGCATCCACACACAGGTGGCCTGATTCACTGGAAGTGCTTGCTTATTTCTAATAAAACAGTGATGTTAGCACTGGAGTACCTCTTGTCACCTGGAAAACACATAAAGGGACAGATGAAAACAGGAACGTGACGCTAGCCCTACTATGCGCTGCTTTTTACTTTGCTCTTTAGTCACAGGCTGGATTTTAGGAAGGTGGAGGATAAAAACATAAACAAAAACAAAGCCTGAGTGAAGAATTAAAAGGTTTCTATTGCAGGGGAAAAACTTGGGTTTGAAACGAATCACTAATTCATTTTCAGTGTGGTTCTTGATTGGGGAGTCCAGGTCTCCAGGAAAGAAAAGCAAACATTGTTGGTCAGAAAATAAGTTGGGAGTAAGAAAAGAGTTTTATCGGGCAAAGAGCTTCCATAGCCAGTTATTTTAATATTTCATAAAATATCATAATTCAGATTAAACAAAGGATAATGTGTCTTCCTGTTAGAACTTTGCTCTTTAGTCACAGGCTGGATTTTAGGAAGGTGGAGGATAAAAACATAAACAAAAACAAAGCCTGAGTGAAGAATTAAAAGGTTTCTATTGCAGGGGAAAAACTTGGGTTTGAAACGAATCACTAATTCATTTTCAGTGTGGTTCTTGATTGGGGAGTCCAGGTCTCCAGGAAAGAAAAGCAAACATTGTTGGTCAGAAAATAAGTTGGGAGTAAGAAAAGAGTTTTATCGGGCAAAGAGCTTCCATAGCCAGTTATTTTAATATTTCATAAAATATCATAATTCAGATTAAACAAAGGATAATGTGTCTTCCTGTTAGTTACTTTTTTCTCGAGTTTTCTCTTGCCTTTAGAGAGAGAGAAGCCATCTATGTCCTGCAAAATGCCTGGCCAGTGACGTATGAGGCTTGCTCCACGTTGCGGTCCTGTGCTGCGTGAAATGCCCAGGCTCGACCAAATGAGTAAATATTCATCCCCTCTGCTCTCTCGCTCCTAGGTGCCTCCCATTCTCCTCGATAAGCAGTTCTCAGAATTCACCCCGGACATCACCCCGATCATTTTGGCAGCTCATACCAACAACTACGAGATAATCAAACTGCTGGTGCAGAAGGGCGTCTCGGTGCCCAGGCCGCACGAGGTCCGCTGTAACTGCGTGGAGTGCGTCTCCAGCTCAGACGTGGACAGCCTCCGCCACTCCCGCTCCAGACTCAACATCTACAAGGCCTTGGCCAGCCCCTCCCTCATCGCGCTGTCCAGCGAGGACCCTTTCCTCACAGCCTTCCAGTTAAGTTGGGAGCTCCAGGAACTCAGTAAGGTGGAGAATGAGTTCAAGTCGGAGTATGAGGAGCTGTCACGACAGTGCAAGCAATTTGCCAAGGACCTGCTGGACCAGACACGAAGCTCCAGAGAGCTGGAGATCATCCTCAACTACCGAGATGACAACAGTCTCATCGAAGAACAGAGTGGGAACGATCTGGCCAGACTGAAGTTGGCCATTAAGTACCGTCAGAAAGAGGTGAGTGTTGCCAGAGTGTATTCATCCACCCGTCGTGGAATTTAACCATTATGGGATAAACTGGGGCTCCAAAATTAGGGTTGGGCTTTAGAGCGTTTTCTACTTATCTGTACCCGGATAATATTTATTGTTTGCCAGGTTAATAATTATGAAACTCACTGGAGAGTGGCAGTAAGTGGCTTAAGAATGGGAGCTGTTTTCTGGTAGCTGGGTTAAAATGGGCACCTTGACTGGAATAATGGAAAAGTGAGTGAATTTTGGAATCTCCACACCAATAGTTCTGGTTGTGCCACTTAAAAGTCTTGTTACTTTAGGGGGTCACACAGATCCCTTTGAACTTCAGTTTTCTCTGCGTAATGAACTTGACACTTACACCTGATTATATGTACTTATTTATACAAGAAAAATACTTTCCTCAGTAGGAAGTGTAAAGTGTATGGGTGTATGTGAAGGTACTTAGTACGTTATAAGGTCTTTTATTAATAAAACACATTATTAGATGTTATTAATGAAGGAAAAACCTTTAGTCTAATGGCGGATTAAAGTAGTAAACTTCTCTCACGTCTGGCCTAGTTTCTTGATTTCTTAGGAATAAGAAGTTAAAGTTTATTCCAGAAGAATGCTAGGTTTCTCATGAAATGTCTATGGATTTGAATATTAACTAAAAATGAGTTATTATACTTAGCACCTAGCATAATTGCTGTCTTTTCTCACCAAAAAACAAAAGTTTGAGTTGAGTGAGTTCTCAAAAAATTGTTGACTCTATTTCCAGAAAATAGTGGTTCTCTGTTCACTCTTGAATTATCTATTACAGAGTAATAGCTCTGTATTAAAAAAACTATATAATGGAGGTGAAAAAAGGAGAGAAAAAGAAAAAAAGACTTCTGAATTTAAGACGTGTTCAGTTTCTTTTGATCTTGGCCTTGATTATCTCACTCCAGCTCTGGCATATTTGAGGTTCAAGATGCCTGAATTTGCTTCCTCAGATTTTTCCTGTGGCGCTCTGGCCAGTTGCCATAGGAGCCTGAACTGGTTGACATGATCTTTTCCCCTAACAACAAAGGAAACGGCTTCTTTGACATACATTCCCCCCTGATTCTAAAATCACACATGCTAGTTGGAGCCATGTCACCAGGAACAACTTGTTTTTTTAGGTTCTTGTGTTTAGAACCCAGGGACCTGATATTTTAAAGGGTCTAGAATAAATTTAATACATAACTATAAGAAACTGATGAAAAACTTCACTTGATTAGAGATTTTACAATACTAGATGTATTTTACAATACATACAATAATTGCATGCATTAGAGCTGATAAAATGAGGTACGATGCTAATGTGGCCTCAAAATCTGGGCCAAACCTTCTTAAAAATCCATTATTACCACAATGTTGTACTCTTCTTTACTGGCTTTCCTTGGAGACGGGCATTTAAGGGATTAGCACAATGATGACAAAGGTCTTCCCTTATGACATGTCTGTTCAGTGCTGATATTGTCCTGTGCATGGGGAGCGGAGTAAAGTTCCCAGATGTTTGGTCTGTGAAATGACACAGGAGCGGCCGGCTAGGCTCACCTGCTGCACTTCTGTTCTCTGCATTCAGTGAACCAGTTTAACTCTAGTTGATGCCTACACTGATTTGGGTCCTCATATCGTAACTAATTTAACTTTTTCTTTGGTCGCAGTGACTTTTGTGAAGGCCCCGGAACCTAACACTCACAGCCTCTCTTACCATGCCCTCATAAAGGAATGCCACAAATGATATTTAATCAACAAAAACTGCCAAGTCCTTGTCAGAGGGTTGTCCAAGACAAAAACTGTAACATGAATTTCTTGCATAGTAACATGAGTCCATATTTTTATCTAAAAAAATATCGTTTATCATTTTTATATGGTCTATTCATCCATTTCTTCATTCATTAACTCTTTGAACACACATTGTACAGAACACACCCCAGGCCATGCAGAGAATACAGTCCTCTATGGTGTTGTGGAACTTAAACAGTCTACTATGGGGAGACAATAGCATGCGCAAGATAAATTGTGCTGTTTTGTTTCTGAAGGACTGAAAAGGGTCACTCCTATTAAACATTGTTTCTTTGCTTAGGCTGTCTTGTCTTGGCAATGGGTATAATTCTCTTTTCTGCTCCTGGCCAGGTACGTGATTTTAGAGCAGTTACCTCCAGACTTCTGTTCTCCCAGGGTTAAAGTGAGAAAATGCTGCCTACCTCAGAGGCTGGCAGTTAAGATGAAGTGTGATAGCACAAGCGCAGAGCTCAGCACACTTCTGGCATATTTACCCATGAACGAGTAGCTACTGTCCTTATTAGCTGTGACTCTTGTTATCATTGCTTCCGTTTATCCCTTCAGAGACCCACACTATGAGAGGCTGAGCACGTGCAGGAAAATGCTGCGCATGATTCTGTTCTATCCTGTGCAGCAGAAGGGTTGGCTTCATCATTAAACCTTTTAATATTTGTAATAAATATGCATGCAGGCCTCAGGGTTTGCATCATACTTTTGAATATCAAAAATAAGTTTATCCCTACAGGCTATTGGTGTCCTCAGTACTCAGAACCATTTGTAGTCAAACATACATTCTCATCCAAAATGTACAAGGTATGGCTTCTATCCCAGCCCCTAGGGAGTTCATACTCTAATTCTTCCTTCATAGGCTTCAGAAGTCACTTATCCTGTGGACTACACGTTTGATTTTAATTTGTCCTTGTGACTTGCATTTTTAAATGTATTTTGGGCATTGGTGACATATGCCCTTTGAACCTGACTGCTACAGTGCACGACCTCAGAATCGGGAACTGAGATGACAGCAGTGTTCATAAAAAATGTTAAGCATATGGTAGGATTTTAACACATGAGGCTGCACTGAGCGATATAAATAATTGTGAGACTTGTAAAAGGGATAAAAAGCAGCATTTCTGGAGCTTGTGATTTATATATTTAAATCACAGCTTCTCTGGAGCACTCCCCACTGGCGATGGGTTCCCGTGCCTCCCCTTCTGTGCCCCTTGCACATGCACTCACCTGCTGTTGCCAGGCAAAGGCGACGAGGACCACAGGTTCCCCGGGCCTCCGCTCAGCCCCCTCCCTGGGCCCAAACACCGCAGGGCCCACCTCTGACTGATGGAGGAAGCACATGCCTGCTTGGGGCTTGTCAGCCTGCTTGACGGAACGCTGACAGGTCATTAGGCGTTTAATTTAACAGGAGATTTTTAGAGTTTGGAATTCAATCCCCAGGAGTTTCTTTACAGCTAATTAAATGGCATGAAACCACTTTCTCCTAACTCCCATCTGAAAGGGATTTTTTTCCCACAATGAAACATGTCATTGTAGATGTCCAAAACATTGTCCGGAACTGCACCGGGTAAAAAGTGATACATTTACATTTTATGAAACAATAAAATAGCATGTAAATCATAGCTTTGTTTTGATACTGCTTTAAATAAATGCAAAACCAAAGGATTAGGCAATTTATGTGCAAAAAGGCTTCCTCCCCGTTCATCTGACAAAAACATGTTTATCTGCAGAACAAGCAACTCCTTCCGATGCAGTTTTCACATGCCGCAGACATAAACTAAAAACAGTAGGTTAATGATAATATCTTTGAAAAATTCCACTGTGTTCCAGATATCTTCTCTTGGTCCCCAAATGGATTACTTTTCTGCATAAAACTGGCACTTCGGACTCCATGATGATTGACAAGCAAGGGTCGTTAGTAATAAGATACCTGTTTTCTGTTTTCAGATATGATCATCGAGCTTGTCAATGATGAAGAACTGTTTCTTGTTTCTTTTGCACAAAACTCACATTTAAGTTTGAGGGTTTTTTTTTTCAATGGGTAGTCATTTAATGTCCCCTATTTTCTCAGTCACCATACACTAAACAAAATGAAGAACTACCAGGTTTTTGAATTATGGATTTAACAGCTTAACCCAACCCATATATTTCCTGGAGAAATCCAAAACCCAACAGGCTGTCTTAGAGAAATTTATGAAACAAAAGCATTATCATGCTCAAAAAATGGCTGATGGCTTTCAGATGTAATATGAGCTCTCCAGATCCTTTAAAATTGTGCAAGTAAGACGGAATTTTAAACTTACTCTCACCTTCATTTTCCTTTGACCATATGAGGCATAGTCACAGTTTTTCTAACCAGAGGTTAATTGCTTTTTGTTTCGAATCTTGGAAACAGAAACATGCAGTAAAACTCTCTGGGATTTATAATGCCCATGCTCTCGTTTGGTGACTCACAATTCTGAAGCTGAATTTCGAAACTGTGTGTTTACCGACTGCTTCTCAGTAATACAGAACTGGGAAAACAGGGACGTGGGATCATGGCTTAGTTCTTTGTGTCACACTCTGTTCCCTTTTTCCCTCCAGCCCCGGAGAAATCTTTCGGCCTTCCTCCCCCTGGTTGCCTTTTTACCTTTGTCTCAGCTCAAGCCACCCACCCTGTTGGCAGCTTCCTGTGTGTGTAGAAAGGCCTGCTTTTCCTTTGCCCTCAGCGTGGATTCAGTTTTAAATCAGGGGCACTATTGTTTTTCTCCCTGGCATTCTCTCGGCTCAGTGATTTTCTCCAGGTGGCCCTGGGACACGCAGCCTGGAACCTGTTCCTACCCTTTGCCACACACCCCTTTTTTAGCTGCTCGTGGGGGGGAAGCTGGAAATCTTGTCGGCAGCTGCTACTGCAGTTAACATGTGAGGAAGCCCGTGGGGGGGATGAGGGGCCCTGGCCAGATGTGCTTTCTCTCTCTCCAACTGCAATTCCACAAATGCTTGCATGGTGCCCATTCTGTGCCAAGGGCAGAGGACAGCAAAATGGAAAGACAGCAAGCCAGAGGCTGAGTGTGGATTTCTTCCAGAACTTTCCTAGAACTTGTGATTTTTTTCCCTCCTTGCTTAGATAATAAAATGAAGTTTGTGTGTGTGTGTGTGTGTGTGTGTGTGTGTGTGTGTGTGCGCGCGCGTGTACGTGTGTGCTGTAG